CTCAGTGAAATGCTTTGAGCACACAACCGACGAGCTAGTTGGGATCCATTTATCCCGTCTGCGTCGAACAAAGCTCAGCCATATTTTCCTTCTCCTGACCGCTACGGGCGAATTATCATCCCAAAAAGGTATTTGGTAGATAGAAATACCCTTGTTTGTGTCAGCAACATTGGAACAACCGTAAACGACACACCGTTTAGGCATTTTAAGGCAAAAACTCTCGAAGTTGCGTCTACTTGTAATACAAAAGCTAATGAACGGCGAAGAACGTGTTCCTCCGACCCAGGCTTTTACAGTGAATTTTGACTGCGCGACTTTTTTTTCAAAAATGACAGAATCTGGCACTTTGAGCCGTTGTATCTCAGAAACTAGAAGTTTAAATCAAATTCTAATCTAGAACTTCTATTGTAACTTTTTATGCTCTATCCGAATCATCAAAAACCCATTTTGGGTTTATAGGCACTTTAATTCTCTAAGTTAAATGACCGATCCAAGAATGTACTCGACCGCCCTCCCCCCAACCCACCCCAACCCACCCAGCTCAGAAGAAGACTTGATATGGTACCATTATACTAGAAAATACATGCATGCAGAAACCCTCGCCTTGCTGACAAAACCATTGTATTTTCCGAACATGAAGTATCTAGAGTAGTTGTCATGGTAACACGATATTTTTTAAGAATATTCTTACAAATCGCCTAAAAATATCACTTTTAATTACACAATTATCAATTTCCCAACATATATATGTTAAGTATGTTATTATACGTAATATAAGCTTCAATTTAAGGTAAAATTCAACCACAAACACTTCCCAAAACGTTCTAAAGTGTTCTTTATAAAACTAAACAGCCTTTAATTAAATGGCTTTATCGATAAACTTTGAGTTTGTAATAAAATGATTTCAAATTCTCGCTTGCAAATAACTTTGCTTTCTTTTTTATTTAAAAAATTCAATATAATAAAAAAGGGAATCAATATTAAAGATACACTGAAATTATATGCTGTCTTGTTTAGTTGTTTCACATACGCAAAGGGCGTCGGGTTTTAAATCCATTATAAAATCAATATTTAAAACAAACTTACCTTCGTTAACGTCGGCTCCCTTCTTTTAGCCGATTCTTTCGCCCTTTCTTTATGAGGAAACTTTTGAAATTTACAAAATCTTGCAAAAATGCGAGCAAAAAATTAATCGATCATCAAATCAAGAAATGTTTGCTATTTCGCTGTCGTCATGCAGTCGTTATAATGCAAACTTTAAATTGGACCAATCAGTGTCCGCTATTCATGACAGTCCACCATATTTTTGAGATCAGTGAGGATGACCACCCATCGTTGGTCACCCACGCCCGCGATATTTGATGAACTTTAGACTTCCCTAATGCTTTCGTTTCCCCGGGTGTAAATAGCCGGGGGGAATTAGTACCCTCGCACGGCGCTTCGCGCCGTCGGCTCGGGGACAACGTAGAGATCTTGGTATCGGCTTCACAATTCTATCCAAATTATAGTGAATACTAATAGTAAGACGCTTATATTACTTCAGAAAAATTCCTTAAATATTTAATCCTTGCCACACCTCTGGGAATTAAATTCTCCACCCCCACCCCCCAGCTATTGTGCCGCATATAACATGATTTCAAATAACTTCACGCTGCTGCCATCTAAGTTTTCTTGATTTCTAATATAATCGTCTACCAAATATATACTGACACTTTTTGGATCGCTCCCCCATTTCTTTTATATCTCCCCTCCCCCCTGGGCGATTTGACAGTACTGTACTATTCTACATGTGAACAATAACCCGAATAGTATCATCTACAGTGACTACTACACATGCACACAAAGTGATTTCACTGAAAACTTCGAGATGCTTTTAACTAAGTCTTATCAATTTTTAAGACAATCGTCCACAAAATATATTGAGACGTTTTAAATCAATCCCCTCCCCCCTTATTCTAGCCTGCGTAGCAGGCGTTTAGCTGACGGGCGGGTACAGAGGGAACGCCTGCCCAAATTGGCTATGACAATTTGTTTTCGCCCATTAAGGATGATTGACGTTTTGTAATTAGCACTTTCACCCATTATCCAATCATAGTCGATATTTATATTTAGCATCATGCATGCTTTTTGCTCGGCAACTACGGAGATTTGCAGAGATTTTATGCACTATTTAAAACACGAACAGCAGTGTTTTATCATATATGAAGATGGTCTCATAAAACACGCACTGCGAATGTTTTAAATTGCTTCAAAAACGATCGATCTAGTATACGTTCATTGGCGAAGTAGCTTTCAAAAAATTCGGTGTGTATATCTAGAGAAAATCATTAAAATTTATATAAATTAAGGGAAATCTCTATTATACGACACGTTTATGATTTTTCTTTGTGTTTTCCTCATGAATTATTGAGTTTTTGAAACTATTTTAGACAACAGTCAGTCACAACGTGCACGGAGCTTTTATCTTTTAAAAGACTCCTGAACCACGGTTGTTTAACGTATTCTGCCGTATAGCAAATATAACAGTTGAGCATGTTTTGAAATGTTATTCTTAAAATCATCATTCAACTTCATAGCTGCAATGCCAAGTGATATAGCCTCAACTATCTGGTCTTGGATTATACTTTAAAGTGAACAAATAACAAGACAACTATATTAACGAAATATTCAGGATATATTTAAAATGTATAATTGAAAGATCAAACTTTTCCGTATTCCTAGGAAGAATCGCGATAACCGGCGTCTTCACCACGTAGCAAATTAATAATATACTTTCTCTGTTCTGGTTCAACTGAATTTCGAAGCCTAAATACTTGAAATATAAGAAAGTTTCCTCGAAAGCATTAACAGGCGGCATATTTTTGATACGCGACTATAAACGCGTCAACGCGAACAAAATTATTGTTGACATTTGAGTTACGTAATTACTTCCGTTAACGAGATTAACCAATGGGAAGCTTTTCCGAAGATTCTTCGGAGAAGAACAAATTAATCATAGGCATTTGGGCAGGCGTTTATTTAACGACGCCCTTTCTTCTCCCGCTCGCACTAAACGCCTGCTACGCAGGCTACCCTTATTCCAATGTTGAAACCTACTGTACTTATCCAAAACGAACAGGAAAGGTGGCACTAGAACCGCGACTGTGTCACTGGCAGTTGAAATGTAACATATGATGTTGGAATTAAACTATATTGTAGTGCCTAACAACATTGAAATCGGGGGAGGGGGTTTGTCTCAAATATTTTGTGGACGATTGTAGGTACGAGGTTGTATGTACGCTGGATCGACTTGTGGGCATGGCTAAACAGGTCCCTATAGTCGGTTATACGCAGCTGTTCGTAAATAATTTTCGAGCAATTTCCACGACCTAATTATTTACCTTCTAGACATTTAGCGAATCAGCCACTAAAAACACCAACCTTGTTGCCAAACTAGGAGCGCAGAGGAAAGAGCCTGGGAACGAGGTTGGCTTGTAGCAAGCTTGTCAACAAGTTGTAACGATATGCTCATTTTATCTAGTTGCTACAAGCTTGTCACTCAAAACTTGTTGACAAATTGTTGAATAAAAGGACGACAACAATTACGATTGTTGGAACAACTTGTAACAAGTCTGTTGAGTTCAACAACCTTGTAACGTTCACAACGTGTCAACAAGCCGGGAACAAGCTGTGCGAACACATCTTGTTGAGAAGTTGTTGGAGCAGCATTGTTACAAGTCTGCTACAAGTTTGTTACAACTTATGCGTTTTTACGTGTGTAAACAGCGGGTTCAGATTTAAAAATACTTGGATTAATGGTTCATTCGGTACCCGCAGACACTTTACATTGTTTATATATTATATTTATATTTTGTGTTTTTAGGCCAGTACAGAAAGGTTGTGTTGGTTGCTTTGACAGTTATGTAGCAATAGGTATGGTATATGTTTGTTTACGTTTTACTGTCAAAGCTTCCTGGTTCAGATGATTAAAAACTGCATGGGATCGCTTGTTTGAAGCTTGGTTGGCGCTAATCCTGTGTTAAAATGTAAACCACTGTTTCGGGTTGTCCACTTCTGCACGTCCATTTAAGACTTTAGAAAATGAAACATCCACACAAGATCTCCAGGAAAAATATTCCCATGTTTACAAACAAACTGTAGGAAAGGTTGTTTTGAAAATTTTATTAACCGAGGATAAAGCTACCTTGCTTTTGAACAACTGACCCCAGGACATACTATAGCATCGTGACACTGATAAACAGATTGGAGGGGGGAGGGGGTGGAGCATGATTCATTTGAAAATCCCTGTTCTTTCTATATATCTTTACAATGCTATTTTAATTTGTGCACTAAAAGTGGCAAGATTGGAAGGAATATGCTCTTTATATAACACATGCAGTGAGCCAAGACCGTCGCGAAGAGGTTTAAGCAGGGGAATGTGTGTAATACACACATTCCCCTGTGTATTGTATTTGCCGACAAAACGGAAATTTGGCGACCATCCTTATATACTTTCTGAAATATATATTGACATGTGGAGGGGAGGAACTGAAATTTTCCGAAATATAGGTTGACGGAGGGGGGAGGGGAGGAACTGTGAAATTTTCTTAGCTGAAAGATGTAGAAATCGCCGATAAATTTCCCGACAACTTGTTTTCAGGGAGATCTCACACACCCCTCCCCCTCAAAAAAAAATCCTGCTAACTCGAACTGCCAAGGGAAGCGAAGAGTTGTTGTGCAAGTTAAACGAGATCGGTATTGAATTTCGTTTATTATGTTAATAATTAAGGTATACTCCATTTATTTATGGTCGGGGCTGGCAACAATTTTTCACCTTTTTCAATGAATCATGTCAAGTTATTTTCATTTTCAGTAAAGTGTCCTCCATTGCATATACACCAAATTAGAGATCTGACAGATAAATTTGCTATCTTGTATGTATATACATTTGTTATTGACATTTAATAGATCTGGTATCTTTTAATGCCTGTTCGCAGGTTAGGTGGCCGGGACAGCTCTGGAGAAATGGTTGCTTGACACGTTAAATCCGAGCAGGGACAAAGCGATTATCCCACCGTAAAAGTATGAAACATAAAGTGCAATTAGGGACAAAATTTCCAAGGTTAAACATATATGCAGGAACATTTTAACCTGAGTGATTGTCATCCGTGCATGGTTCAAAATTTTGAATTGAGCACATTCTACTAGACCAATTTTTTTGAGTCGCATATATACTACACTTGTTGGTTTCAAACATGACATCAGTGAAAATTTTAATAATATTACTGAATCATCACTTATAGATTTCTAATGATATCTTTAAACAAATATCAAGTTTTGTACAATTTAGTACAATTTAGAGTAGGTATATATAAAGTGCAATTTTAAATGACCATGCATTTACTCTCGATTTCAATTTGCTTTTCAAAACTGACTTCCAATGTTTACTTGTAAATTCGGAATGATCGTTGTAAAGTCCCGAAGTTTGTTTCGAAGTTCGTTACGATGATTTACGATGATTCAATAGCAAGCGATTTGATTGGCTGGTTCACTTAACTAGCCCATTACAACTTACTAAACTTGATTATCGTAAATCATCGGAACGAACTTCGGAACTTTACAACGAACATTTCGAATTTACAAGTAAACATTGGAATTCAGTTTCGAAAAGCAAATTGAAATCAAGAGTAACACACATATATATATATATAACAACTCTAAAAATTTTTAGAACCACTGAGTATTTTAATAAAATACAAAACAAGTGAAACTCCAAAAATCGATAACATTTTTATTTATCTACGTTTCGACTATATTTCAGTCATCATCAGGATAAACTAGCTAGGTTATATATCAAAAGCGGTATTTATATGAAGAAATATGATACAATAGTTAGGTTGATTAATGAAATATGATTAGTTCTTTAGAAGCTTTAAGTCCATGATTAAGTTCAGGTTTATATCTTTGAATAGCGAGGGATTCTTGATATAGTAAAAGGGACCAATGGTTAGATTTATCAATTATTTTAGTGTTGTTGAAAACATGTTCAGCCATTATACTGGTTTGATCAGACTTTGCGTCATCGTCGGGATAAAGTTCTAAAAGGGCTTTAATATGTTGAAACTGCTCGCAAGTAGAGAGGTGTTGATGGATTACAGATTCTGTGTGATATGAATGTTCCTTAGTTCTGGAATGTTTCTTAGATCATATTTCTTCATATAAATGCCGCTTTTGATATATAACCTAGCTAGTTTATCCTGATGATGACTGAAATATAGTCGAAACGTAGATAAATAAAAATGTTATCGATTTTTGGAGTTTCACTTGTTTTGTATTATAACAACTCTACTTAATCACAAACAAATCCAGAACATTTAAAACATTGGAAGATATAACGTTTCCATAACAAGAAATGAACATATATTCCACATGCTTGTACTTTTCAGAATTTTCCAAGGGGGGAGAGAATTTTTCCAATAATGTGAACTGCACTACTGTTTTATTAAGGAGCCGAGAAAATTTTAATTTGACACGCGAGAATCGTGCATGCTTGCCTCCGGACATAAAGCTGCCCCGGGTGCATGTGAACAGGACCTAACGAATAATTAAAAGACACAGAACTTTGCAACAAATCAACTTTATTACTTAAACAAAGACAAGATTTTACACTAATGAATTAAATTAAATTTAACGCCAATCTCAGAAATCGTAATTGTTTGACCAGCTGTACAATGTGTATGTGCTGTTTTAGATTAGAAATAAGTGAAATCAATATCTGAAATTAAAGGCTTTCTGTGAATGAGTCTGACCATGCATAATTAATAAATTCATAAGTAATAATAAGAAGCAATAAGGTCCTATTAAACAAGCGAAAATATTAATAAGAAACATGAAAACCACAAAAAATCTTACATCGAAATTTTCAAAAAAAAAATCAACGGAAAGTACTTGTAACAATAACTTGTAATAATCAAACGACACGCAAGCCATTGCATGTTTCAACATGCTTCAATAAGATATTCATGTTCAGCTGTATGTTAGAAATAAACCACATTATCAATCGTTTCCACATGACACTATCTGTATTTAACATTCCGTATATTTTGATCGAATTTATATCACTCCATCTTTTCCATATATGCTCCACAGTTTAAAACATGCCTGTATGTCTTGCATGTCGTTTCATCAGATTTATGATTGAATTGTAGAGAAAATTTAAAACGACAAAAGTAAAATTCTTTGCCAAAACTATCTTGGCTTATTTCTTTCATGAGATATTTAAGAATGTTCGATGCGCAAATTCTCCAAACTATGACGTCAAATTGCATAAAGGCTTTGTGAAATTTAAATTATAACTCTTATAGATACTTACTGATTCGAATCTGTCGACATATAGTATATATTTGTCGCATGTTGACCAAACACATATGCACGGTTTTACGATTTCGATGAACGATAAGCCGGTTTTCTACTATTAAGAAAAGCAATTTCGTGGCCCCCACCTGGGGAATAGATTTTCTGTGGTTCAATGCATAGTATACCATAGATGTTCAATTACCACAAAAAGTTCCCAAGCGAAAAACTTGCCCAATATCTAGAAAATGAGTGATCAGCGATTATCCTCTATTAAATTGTATTACAGCAAGAAAATGTGAAAGTTTGTATTGAATTACAACAAAAATGACTCGCATCATCAGAAAACTTACGAAAACCTATATTAATAAGACATTTTAAACAGGTTTTTATATCTTAAATTGTTTTTGAGTTTATACGCAGTCAAAATGGCGTTTTTGACCTATAGTACCCAGTCATTATGCGACATTTTCAAGACTATTTGAAGAATAAAAAACTGTTTAAAAGTCTTATATGCTCGGTTTTTTGTATGTTTTCCGATGATGCAACTCATTTTTATTGTAATTGAATACAAAATTTCCCAGGATAATCATTATTGATCACCCATTTTCTCGGTATTGAGCAAGTTTTTGCTTGGGAACTTTTTTGGTAGTAATTACCTATGTATGCCTTTCAAATAGACAACATACCAAGTAATTCCCACACGCGGGTGTCACGAAGCGAAATAATTTTGGTCAACGGCCCACGGCTTATATGCGGAATTGTGCGCGCGGAGCGAATTTTTTTGCTTTTCTAATTAATTCCATCCAAAAAATCACAAGACAAAGAAAATTTCCGCCTAGTGGAAAACTGGCTTAAGATATAAAGTTTGTTCGTTCACCGCAACCAGGTATATCAATCATATTTCGCTCGCTACTCTGGTTTAAATAAATTATTACAAAGCCGTGGCATATAAATATGAGTCATCATGCTTTGAAAAGGGATGACGGTGCCTATTTGCCAGAGGAATATATGCATCTTCTTGGCAGGTGTCGTCATCCCTTGGGTATTTAAGAAGCCACGATCGCAGTTTTAGATCACCCCTGATGAAGACACTAGACTGGAGTGTCGAAACGTTGGGTCTTGATTACAATTCGACTGGTCTTTGTAATCATTTATTTAAACCAGAGTAGCGAGCGAAACATGGCTTAAGATAGTTTGGGAAAGTGACTTATTCGGTCAATTTGAATTTTCTTTACAACGCAATCATAAAAAAATAGTGAAAAATTTCGTTGCATAAGCGCTTTAAATTTAGTTTACCAAATAAGAATATTTAGTGCACGAATATATATTGAGATAAGTTCTAGACGATGTGGAAAACTTCGACTTCTGATGGTTGAAATTTGTAGGTTCCTGCCAGGATGGTGCTTGCGTCGCTGACACCAGATGGAGCTTGGTAGGTGGAATTAAAAGTTGTGGCAGAAAACCAATTCGAAGCAGCATCATGGGCTATGTATATATCATGACCCCATTCGCCAAATGTTGGTCCATAATTATTTTTTGCCATAATTGCGTACGGAGTATTTTGATTTTTCAGTGGCGCTTTAAAAGGCGGGAGATTTTCTTTGTTGCGAAGAGAGAATATGAAGGATCCTGGAGCTTGTCTATACGAAACACCTGTTATAATGTAAAAATACTGTTTTGACATATTTAACCAGATTTATATTGAGTATCGGCACAGTAGTGTTGCAGCCGCGGACGAATTTGAAAAATTTCAATTGTTCATGCATATATAGTAGAGCTGCAAGGATAATAATGAGTATGAAAAATGATACCCCTAGATTAGAAGCAATTTCTGCTTTAGGGTGGGAAACTCTTGAGTCTCAACGAAGCAAGTCAAAAGCAATTCAAATGTGTAAAGTTTGATTGGCTCCAAACGCACTTGTCAATCTTTTTGTGCGTAAAAGTGACATCAGAGATTATGCATGAGCTCAGGGGCTCCACTACCTCTCTGCAAATACCTTTTCCCAGAACTGAAAATCTAAAAAAAATTTTCTTATGATGGGGCGAAATTGTGGAATTCCTTACCCTCAGATTTGTGTGATTCGGATTCATTGCTGATATTTAGAAATGGAATTACTGCTCACAATTTCTCGTAAATTATTGTAAATATAGTCATTATAGCCATACTAATAGGTTGATTTTTGTAAATATTTTTATAATGATGTAATGAACACGCCCCTCGTGGAAATCAGCGAAAGTTGACGAGGCTAGGGTGTTGTTTTTAAATAAAGTTTACCTACCTACCTACCAACCTACATGTTGCATTTAAGCCACGCAAGAGCATTTGGCTGCAGGGCTAGCCTTCACGCGTACCAGTTAGCTCATCTCTGTATAGCCTGTGTGTTTGTCGCAATCATAAAGCTAAGCGGCTAATATTTTATTTCGCTCTAAATTTCAAAGTGGCGGTAAATATCACGTGTACCACGTGAGAAAGATATGTGCTTTTATTGGTGCATGGCTACTATACATATTCGCAGCTGAGCTTATCAACTCACAACATCCACACACGGTGTGATGCTTGCTTCGCGTGGACAAAATAATGAAACACGATAGAATTTTTCCTCACGGTCTTGCATGCCGTCAAATTCCGCAGCAAAAACCAAGTGTTGCCACGCGTGGCGATTAGCTCAGCCTGCAAAAGCTCTTCTATGCGGCAGGCTTTATCTGTCATTCACGGCGTGGAAATTGTACAGCTTATATGAATTTCGGTGGGTGCAAAATAATCTTTAAATCTCGTTTCACGTAAAATAAATAAAGGTTTCGCGTTTCACAAGAAATAGTTAAATAACAATTCCCTAAACAACTGATTAGACATTTCACGTTTCACGGAAAACAAAATTGGCATAATTCACGCTTCATGAAAATAACCATTAATACCACCCTTACTTATAACAATCTTAACATAAACAGATACACCGAAATCCGCTTAGTTTCAAATTAACATGCATGTCTCGATTATACGTGTAATAGGATGGAACGAACCAAGTCCCAAATTTATACACAGAATATATAATAATAATAACAAAAATAATAAAATCTTTATTTAAACTGCATAATTGTGTCAGCTGACAATACGATGACCTCTGGTATTAATTAGCCATTCCGAAGTTGATGAGTGAATGGGGACAAGTGTTATTTATTACGAAATTAGGAAATAAACCAAATCACTAAAAAGACCACCTCAAAATTAGTAGGTATACACAGTTCGAAGACGTTTACATGAAAATCCTTCGAATAACAAGCTTTCGAAAATCGTGATATTTACTATGAAATGTATTGTAATTTTTGTTTTTGGGACGCGCGTCCCAAAAACAATCTTTTAATCAGTAATTTCACATTTTTCGATAGGGTATTCATGTAAACGTCTTCAAACTTTGGATACATACTAATTTTGAGGTGGTCTTTTTAGTGATTTGGTTCAATTCTTAATTTGGGCATTTTTTAACACTCGTCCCCATTCCTTTCATCAACTTCGGAATAGCTAATACAAGTGCAGTTAGATATAATATGTTGACCTAATATGACTAATATAGCTGTTCCAATCCCTAGCTGCATAGCTGTTCCAATCCCTAGCTGAGATGTGCTCCGGCTGACCGGTTGTGGATTTTGCCTTAGGTAGGTGGAGTCACGTATTACCACTAAAATGCTCCCCATGCATACTTGAACGACTGGGTAGATACGATACTGATGGTTTTTAGTCTAGGTTTGTATGCGTTTCATTTAGCACAGGTAATCTCAACTGTTTTATGGTAAAATGACCATGGCGGTCAACATGGCATATGTGCCAAAACCCAAATCCGGGACGAGAGTCCTGAAAATGACCCCGCCCTGAAACGGCAGTGCCGACATAGCTCTAACTTCCGAAAAGGAAAGCGATAGCCTTTCAGAAGTGCTCATAGTGTTTAGAAGGGTTGCATTTAGGGGTGGTCATTGGAAGGAAATATTTGTCTAAGTATATTATTTTACAAGAAAATGACCATGCACCGCCCCAGGTAAATTGCTAATTATGCATAAAATAACTAATATGCCTGGCAGAAATTAAATTTTCATATTTCCTAAAAATATTATCACGGAATGAAAAACTATGCCTAATTTAATATAATTATTGTGGATTTCATAAGGATTGTCATTGTTTTCATTAATTAAAATACATTATAATACATTTTTTTCACTTACTCCTCACGAAAACACGATTTCAGCCATATTTTGCCGCCTTGATTGCTTTTTATCGCCGAATCTCGCAAATATCATCCAGTTGTTGTACTTTTACATAATGATAGACGGCTAAAGAAGATTTCAACCAAGTTTCATCAAGTTGTGAAACAGTGCAGTGTATTTTATCTTCGATATTGTGTCCTTCGATATTTCGTGAAATATGGCGTCATTGCAATGGCTCGCCGCTTCTCTGCCCGATAAATGCCACTTCTTCGTCTTCCTATGTATTTAGATTACAGTATCCAAGAGTACTTCATTAACATTGTAGAATAGTCCCGATTAGCCCGCGTGCAGAGAGCGAAACAGAAGACGGTATTAAATTGCCGTTTGAAACGAAACGATCTGGACTCTGAACGCTCTCTTCTTGTGTAGAGTTCTTTACCAAATGAAATAACTGAAATAAATTTCGTACTTTCCGCCGCCAACAAGAATTGCACACACGATCTGATAAGTGAGACAATTTATTTATAAAAATGGCGACAGCGAAGCACACATTAGAAATGCTAATGTGGTCGCACGACTTCCCTCACGATTTCAAGTTTGAGAATGGTTTCCGTTCAAATTCGTCCTAATTTGCCTGTTCCGATTTTAGTTGAAAATGAGCACTTGCAAATTTGGCAATTACTGACTGCGTTGCTTGCTTTTTTGGAGTTAAAACGCAGCCATTTACACATTGTTTATGTCCTGAATAAGCAGAGAAACCTCGCAACATTTTAATGCGATTTTGTTTGTTAATATTTGGGTGCTGTCATTGGTTCTTTTCTGACAATTGACACGCGAATGGGGCGTGTTATGAAAAGGGGCGTTTTACGAAATACCGGGCCTTGCTTGCAGGCCCACTATCGGTTCCCTTCGGCCTGCACGCGCGGGCTAAGTCCCGATCGAAAAATTGAAAACATTAGTTGCACTTGAAAGAGAAAAACCTCCCATAACAATTGTCTTGTCAGAATTCAAAAGAAGTAATTTAAAAGTCACGCGCAAGTTCGTGAAAACTCCTCGTGGGTTACATGACAGGGGGAGTGAATATTTTGACGAAACGTTTGTTCGCCACCACAGCAACCTAACTAAATATACTATATTTATTGTATTTTTATGATTTATGATAAAAATACGCAAATATTTATTGTTTTTATCATAAATCATAAAAATACAATAAACATAGTGTATTTTGTTAGGTTTCTGTGGTGGCGAACAAACGTTTCGTGAAAATATTCACACCCCCCCCTGTCACCCCTTGTCATGTAACCCACGAGGAGTTTTCGCGAACTTGCGCGTGACTTTTAAATTACCTCTTTTGGATTGTGACACGGCAAGTGTTATGGGAAGTTTTTCCCTTTCAAGTGCAACTAATGTTTTCAATTTTTCGATTGGGACCATTCTACAATGAAGTACTCTTGGATACTGTAATCTAAATACATAGGAAGACGAAGATGTGGCATTTATCGGGCAGAGAAGCGGTGAGCTATTGCAATGACGCCATATTTCACGAAATATCGAAGGACACAATATCGAGACTCGGCGATAAAAAGCCAACAAGACGGCAAAATATGGCTAAAATCGTGTTTTTGTGGGGGTAAGTGAAATAAAATGTATTATATTTAAAGAAAACAATGACAATCCTTGTGAAATCCACAATAATTATGTTAAATTAAGCATAGCTTTTCATCCCATGATAATTTTTTTAGGAAATAAGAAAATCTAATTTCTGCCAGGCATATTAGTTATTTTATGCATAATTAGCAATTTACCTGGGGTGGTGCATGGTCATTTTCTTGTAAAATATTATACTTAGACAAATTTTTCCTTCCAATGACCACCCCTAAAAGCAACCCTTCTGCATACTATAAGCACTTCAGAAAGGCAATCGCTTTTCCTTTTCGAAAGATAGAGCTATTTCAACACTGCCGTTTCAGGGCGGGGTCATTTTCAGGACTTTCGTGCCGGATTCACGTTTTGGCACATATGCCACGTTGACAGCCATGGTCACTTTACCCTAAAATTATTTACAATCTTAAAAATTAGTTGAAAACGTAAAAGCGTCTGCGATTATACAATGTTAATAAATCCAGTTTGTTACGCATATCCTCTGAAGTTCTTCTGTCCACTCTAAATATTGTTCTCATTGCTTGATTTTGAAGCCTTCCAATCTTATCTGACATCTGTTTACTACAGTCAAGCCAGACTGTGCACCCATAGCCAAGAATCGGCAATATAGTTTGTTTGAATATATTCAACAAAACAAATCTTGGTAAAAATGAAGATGTCCTGTTTAATAAACAGAGTTTTGGATAGACTCTCTTACAAATATACGAGAGCTGTTCGTTCCAGGTCAATAGCGTATATCCAAGAGCACACCGAGATATAGCTTCAGTATTTGGCTGTTTAAATTAACTACGACATCGCCTGCATTCATCAGGCCTGCGAGAGATCCAATTTTCATCACCTCAGATTTTCATTGGGTGCGCAACCATTTCATTTTCTATAAGCCATTTCTCAACACTCGCAAGATCTTCATTTACGTTGTCCACGGCGCGACTGATGTCGGAATTTGATGAATGAATTTCGGTATCATCTGCGAATAGTCTGCAACTGGAATTGTAATTGCTGATTGAACACTGTCGTATATAATAGATTGGAAACAGTGTCGGGCCAAGGAGATACCTGAGATACCACCTTTCTTCAACTTTGAAAGCAAAAGGCGATGGTTTGTGACGTCAAAAGCTTTTCGTAGGTCTAGAAATGCAGCGACAGTAAGTTGTTTATTGTCTATAGACTATAGCCCATTTCCACTCGTAAGAGGAGTATCAGCGCTATACATTGCATGACGAAAACGTTTTGTAAGCAAACTGTTTATCGCTAATCATTTTGCTTTCACAAGCATAATCTTGAAGCTGCGAGTTTGCAAATCCCTCATAAACATTCGATAGACATTGCAAAATAGAGATTGGTCGCATATTCCTGCCAATATTCAGATAAATTTACACCAGTATAGTCAGGACGAGAACAACACGTTCGGCGAATGGATGGATATTAATTGACAGGGACGCCGGAACTGGGGAG